TTATCTGAACAAATTCATAGTGTATCTTACTAGTCACTAAATCAAAATCAGTAAAATCCTGATTCACACCAGGAACTGTACATAGCATGCTTTTAAGGTTATTATTGTAGATCTAAGAAACAGCTGATCTGAGAGAGTGTGCTAACAGCCAGTAATTGCTATGAGAAAATCACAAACCATGGAGAGATTCAAGGAAGGAGATACTGCTTCTATGTACAAAACATATACTTAGGGTCTACAGGTGCTTACTTTGAATAAATATGATAAAGGCAAACTTTGCCTTCATAAACTGTACTGAAAGCCTTTATCAACACTTCCTCATCTGCCTTATCCTGTAAAACATCTGCTTCTTTAAAAAGAAGTTGCCTATGAACTCTTCAACAAGAAACTGAAATGGGTTTCCTTTCAAGAGGAAGAAAGATGGGAACAAAACATGCCTTCTTTGATTTTACTTAAAAATTCAATGCTGGGCCCTCCCGGGTGGCGTAGCGGGTTAAAACACAGGACTAAGAAGCAAAAGCCACTTCAGCATGAGTTCAATCCTCATCCCAGAGGTGACCCACATGGCACAGCAGACCTCTCCTGACCTACTCACTGTTTCCCTCAGCAGTGTACTTCGTTGATCTGCCTGGTCTGCTCCCTACTGTCTCTGGTGAATCCTCTCACTGCCCCTGCACCTCTGGCCTGTACTCCAGTTCTGTATGCATAAATAAATAAATCTTAAAAAAAAGATTTCAATGCTAATTAAAACCACGTATTTAATGAGAATCAAAAAGAGTAGGGAACAAATGGGAATTTCCTGGATAAATCCATGCTCTCTGTGAATTCAGATTAGCAGTCAGTTTTACTGCATCAGTGGCCGACTCTTGAACATTCTGTTCTAGTTGAAACAGCTGGGACAGCATGGGACTGTGTATGTCCTACAAAAACCCACTTAAGCCTAATGAAAGAGAGGTGATGGAATACTTCTGCTGTCTGCTTGAACATGCAGAAAATGTGTCAGATTTAGCTAAGAATTGAATTATAAATAAAATATTTTAGATCAGCATTATCAGGAATTTGGTCAGCTTAGGACAATATTATCTTATGCGCTCAGCCATTGTGGAGGTTGGTTCTGCTGAAAAATCTCAGTTGGTTTCAGGACATTTTTGTCCTCATGATTGCCATCACAGTCAACACCAGGAGGTAGCCTTTAGCCTGGCCTAAGAGAGAACCTGCATTAGGTACTACACACTCTGCAGAGACCCAGCCTGCTGTCTCACTGCTTTCTCACATCAGGAACAACAGGAGGGAAACCAGCTGCCCTCAGGCATGGCTATTCCAAGGTGATCTGCTATCACCAGTACCACAACAGAAATGCTAATAGTGATCCTCTTCAAACAGATGTGGGTAAAACCCTTCACAGCCCCTTATTACAAAACTCTTCTCTAAGGACTCTAAAGCATAGATCTGCTCTCTGATCTTGGAGTGAAACTTACTGATACTTCCTTTGTACCATTTATCCTTTTCTCCTGCACTGCAGTGAAAGTAAAGTCCTAAGGGTTGGTAATGACTTTTCTTAATCTACCCTGTTTTTGTAGTCCCTAGCACATTGCCTGTACAGAGTAGAAGTGCCACACATTTTATTTTTAATGTATAAATTTAAAAACAATAATGATGACAGCAAATGGGAATATTCTGTAGTTGACATGGAAGTGCCCAAAGAGCAGGGATCTTTGTCTTTGGTGATCACTCTTGTTTAGTACATCTAGTGTCATCTAGCTAAGTGCTTGGTGCTCAATGAGTATTTGTTGAATGACCAGGTAAGTATGATGGCTTTCCAAAGAGGAACAGTAATTATTTGACTGGAAAGCAAAGAGGAAATATTTTACACATGTTATAAAGAATAAAGATTAGAAGATTGGTAATTTCTTCTTTCACTAGACCAGGGATTGGCAAGAATTTTCTTTAGGGTGTCAGATAGTAAATATAATGGGCCTTGTGGGCCACAGTTTCACTTGCAACTACTAAACTCTGTCTTTGAGTGTGAAAACACTCCTGAATAATATGTAATCAATGTGGGTGTATTCCCATAAAATGTCAGTTACAAAGCCGACAGCAGGTGAGATTTGGCCCATAGCTCCTGTACCAAGACAACTGCACACAAATTATGTTAGGATTAAGATAACGAGATATCTAGTCACTACTTGATGATCACACCTTCTATCTCTTATTTGTCCTGTACCCCCACTTCAATAAGTAGTAAAGCTGATAGTGCTACAGTGAAACTTTGTAATATAATAAAATAGCTGCTCAGCATATGCTTCTTGAATTAAAGTGAATCTTACACTAACTGATTTCCAGGAACTGATGGTTTCAGTAGAACCAGTAACTCAAATCCTACAATGTATCTTTTTCTTTGAATTCTGTCCTAGCAAAACATGGGAGAAGTTAGGCATTGGTGAAATACCATTTCATCACACAAATGTAGAAAATGGGGCACCTTCTTTCTTAACAGAGTTACAATCCTTGCTGTTTTTCAGGATACCAATTATTAATCTGAAGAAGCCCTTTTGAATATCTATCCGTGAAGCCAAGAAATGAATGACTTGACTTTTTCACTCATTTGTGCTCAGGCTTATTTTGAAGTTGTCTCCTCTCTCAGTGTTTAAATAACTATTTTCAGAAAAATTATATAAGCAGATGATCATTGGTATTTGTAATTCATTCCCCTCCAATGACTAAAAATCATGAGTTTTTTTTTCATGAGTTTGTATTAGGTGAGTACATTATTTCAGGCCAGAAATTTCACACATATAATAGTCTACAAATTTATCAGTGAAATGGGTCAATATTTGAAAAAGTGTGAGCAGCATGCATGTGGAAAAATGTCATCATGAAATATAATTTGTGGTCCTTTCCTATACCTTGTACTATCTTACAATTTTCCAAACTTATTTCTCACTTTACTAAGTGTTGCCACTTACAAACGAGGCCTGATTTCCTCTTTGGCTACAAACAGTATTTTAAATAGAACTCTAATGTGATAATTTGCTAAACATCTGAAACCTTGGCTTTGCTAGATGATGTTATGGAAACTGCCCTGATTTATGGCAATTTTGGTGCCATGAGACAGCACTAACTTACCTGATAATAAATCTAATTAAATTTGGAAATAATGTTTTAAATGTTTCATTTATTCTGTTGAACTAAGAGATATCTATAGTGTTTATGCATTTTTGTAAAAACTGACTTTTACATATTAGAAATATAATACTACATTGGGTGACTTTCAGAAAAATTAGGGTATAAGAAGTGCAAATTTATAATCTAATAGTCTAATGGCCAAGGATACTGATTACTAATATCACTCAGATGTAGGTTTGCATCCTGGCTCAACTTGAATTGCTCTCGTCAGTGTAAGAGGAAAAATAATGGTACTGGTCTGATAGGGATACTGCAAATGAGATAATGCATATAAAGTGACATTTGCAAAAAAAAAAAAAAGGCAATTTCATGCGGTTTGTTCTAAGGTATGCTCAAAATGATTAGTGGTTACTATTAGCTATTGTTGCCAAAGCCTTGTATTTCAGTTGAAGGTCGGCAGCATTCCTTTAAGTGGTGGAGAAATGCACGAGTATATTGGGCTTCATGGGAATGTTGACAGATCATACGCAGTAAACATAAAATTTGTTGCGTGAAAACAAGGTCACTACTACTGTCAGTAATACCAATGTGTGAAAATCAGATAAAAAGGCACAGTCACAGTAGGAATGTCAATGATAAGGACTAAGAGTTAGTTTGGGATGGGTGCTTAAAGTGGCTGCTCACTTTAAGCAGACCAGGGAAGACTCATGGAAATAAACTGTCTTTATACCCATTGAGCATTCAATCCAATTACATTCAGAGAAGGAAAGAACCATCTTAGAGATAATTATGTTTGGCTGTAATAAATGGTTATATTCAGCATGATGAATATTCACAAATATTGAAGATTTTAAGAATATAAAAAAGCCAGAAGAAGCTTTAGTTGTCATTATTTCTTCTCTTTTGCCCCACCTAAAATAACTTGGAATATATATCCAAATGGGGGTGGATCTCTGTAGCTTAATGTTCTCAATGGGAGGCAGTTCTGTCCTCTTGAGAGTGCTTGCAATATCTTGAGACATTTTTCAATACTCAGAATGAAGGTGCTACTGGCACCCAATGAATAAATTCTAGAGATTCTGTTAACCATGTTACAAGGCATAGGGAAATCTCTTGAACAAAGAATTATTGGATTCAAATGTCAACACTGCCTGCTCTAGACTAATAACCTTCAAGATCTAATGGGCCTAAAATCATCCACATGCTAAGCAGAGTAGAGAACGGCATGTTTCAATACGGTCAAGTCCTCCTTGTCCCTGGATTTGCTCCACGTTAATGAACCATAAGCTGAAATATCATTATTAAGTGACCAGGGGTTTCCTGGCTCAAATTTTATAAGCAACATCAGTTCCCATAGACAACCCATTAAGCAACAGTGGCATCAATTCAAGGAGCCCAGTTAAAAGTTTAAGCACAGGCCCTCCCCGGTGGTGCACCGGGTTAAGCACAGCACCAAGACACTGAAGCCACTTTAGCATGAGCTCGATCCCCCCATGTCCCGGAGGTGACCACATGGTGCGGCAGACCTCTGACTCGCCCGCTGCTCCCCTCAGCAGTGTACTTTGTCAGTTGGCCTGTTCTGCTCCCTGCTCTGTCTCTGGTGAATCCTCTCACCGCCCCTACACCTCTGGCTATACCGCAGTTCTGTACGTATAAATAAATAAATCTTTTTAAAAAATGTTAAATAAGTGTTATAAGCACAATCTTTGCATTTTAGTCCTTGATTCCCTCAGAAACTGAAAACCTATTTCATATGTTAAGGAAAGTCTTTCCCTTTGTATGCACTCATACACAAAGTCTTCAGAGCTGCTGAAAAGGATGTAGTCAAACGCAGCTAATGCTCAAAGCCTGAAAATATAAATAAAGGACATTACCTTGAGGCTCTTGACTCTGCACTTGGTGCCATCTCGGTGCTGCTGAAGAGGCTCTCTGTACACTCTGTGTTTAGGGCGACGCCCATCCATCCTCTCCGAGAAGCTGTAGGAGTCCTGGAAAAACAACAAGGATCTAAACTGGTATATGAGAGAAACACTGGTGCCTGGTAGCAGAATAAGAGACCACCAGTGCATAGATAATGACTGTAGGTATTTTGAGAGAGAGCTGGGGAAATCATAGGTCTTCAGCGCTAAGGAAAATGGTTATTTGGTATGTCCCATACACATAAAAATTAGGGTCCCACAATCGTTATCTGCATCCTTTCACAAGTCTTCATGCCAATCTGAAATGACTTATACTCTTCAGTTGAAGGGGGAAAAAAAGGTTTAAATAACTAAGTGTGCTGTCCAAGGATGGTCATGAATGACACGTGTCACCTTTACATGCTGTGTACTGTCCCCCAAGGTCATGCGTGGTGTCAAACACTCTCCCTATTAAAATACTTTTAAATAAAGAGCCCTTTTAACTATTATATCACATACCTTTTTAAATGGAAGGACAACTTACTTGACCTCAAAGGGATAAAAGTTTCAGGTAATAAAGAAATTAAGAAAGTAAAAAGCTTCAGAGCTTTCCTCCTTTCATTTTTGGGGTAAAGGATGACATACAGCAGACATTTAGATATTCCTGTGATGAATTAGGAGAAAACTACAATAAAATCAGGGCAACTGATTTTCATATGTAAGAAACTTCATCTAAGGGATTGAGCCCCCAAAATAGTAGCAAGGAATCTGTTAAATGTTCAAACTAGAAAAGGTATTTGAATCCCAAAGTTTTCATTTTCTAAAAAATTTATGGGCCTCCCTGGTGGCCTAGGAATGATGAAGACTCAACACTATCACTACTAAGACCACTTCAATTCCCAGCCAGAGAGGTGACTCACATGGTGTAGCAGACCTCTAATATCTTGCCCACTGCTCCCCTCAGCATTATACTTCATTAGATTCGTCTGTTTTGCTTCTCTCTCTGCCTCTGGTAGATCCTCTCACCCCTCCTCCCTGCAATTCTGATCCCTGTTCTTCTAAGCTCATGTATAGTAAGCTATATATAACTTAATCATTTTTAAATGAATTAAGTAACTGCCTTACATTGTTGTTAATTTTGGGACATTATTGGATTTTGTGCACAGGTGTCATCCCTGTAGTTCTCACTTTCAGAAAACAAAAGTTGGAGCCCAGGATAGCTTGTCCAACGGTAGGAAATCTGAGGTGGACTCGGGGCCCAGTCTTTCTCCCTTTCTTCTGCACCAAATGTGTAATATTTAAGTGCAGGATTGCAGAGATGAGCCTTTTTTTTTTTTTTTAAGAAAAACTAGGCTAGAAAAATGAGAATGACTGATACATGCTTGAACAAGAATAAAAGCAAGCTTATATAAAAGAGGTGAGGCTTACTTTTACACTCAGAATCAAAGAATACAGCATTAGCAAATCTATATTGGGTCCATTTTCATATATATGCTAGCAATGTCGGGGTGAGTAGCACCACGGGTGAGTAACACCATGGAGGAAATTGCCTGTGAGACATTAAGTAATTTTATCTGGTATATGAGCCACAACTTAGGTCTCACCACAGCTTACGTCTCACCACAACTTATGTCTCTGGACACTTTTCTATAGTGTTCTTGTTTTCAGAAAGGCTTTTTTATTGAAAAATAAATTCCATCTAATAAAGTCTTTACGTATTTTTATGTAGGGCTCTGTCTGGTTGTTTTCATTAAACTCATTAAATAAGCTCCTTCTATTCATAAACACAGCTTTAGCGTACATACAGGATTAGTTTTAAATTAGAGGCAGTAGGGCAAAACAGGTGTGCTTTGCTGTTAATCCAAAGAACTAGGTCCCAATTGCAAATAATTTACACCAAGACTCTGTTTCCAACTGTAAGTTGAGGGAAAATAATGCCCACAAATGGCGCTCACTTAGAATTTGAAAAAAGATGTGACATAAAATATTTAGCTACTGCTCGCCACAGAGCAGCATCTACAACTTACTAATGAAATATTTTCTGCTTTTAAAGCTGAAGGTTTCATTTTTAATGACTCATATGGGAAAGTACAATTCTAAACATTAAAAAATACTCTCCCTAAAAAATTTCACTATATAGGCATAATCCTATGTGAGTGTTCATATATATCAACTAGACTTATAGATACGAATTAGCCCATAAGGTGAATAAACATTAATAAAAACTAAAAAAACCCTTTCGCTAACAGCAAAGAATATAAGTTTTAAAATGTAATTATGAGTGTTCTGTTCAATGCAGACCATTTAGAAAAAAGTAAGTCACTTTAGGTTAATGTTTGCTTTTTCTTATTACATAATGGGAAAAGATAAGCATCTATTTCTTAGTAACAAATGCCACCTGCTTCCAAAGCCTCTTGCCCACCTTTCATTCATTTAGATGACTTAGCTAGAAAGAAAAAAGATATTTGGGTAATATAATGTCTGATAGCAGACTGCTATAGCACTCAGCTAAGAGTGGATGGAGTGTACATCCTCCTGAGCCTTGCCTTCCTAATTCTTTGGTAGGAAGTTAGGCTGCAAATATATAATCAAATCAGAAGAAAACAGTGAGACATTAGAAAAACTTGTTTATGTTTATACTAGAAAAACTTGTTTATGTTCTATTTATAAGAACCTAAATTTCTGGATATTATCAACTCAACCCTGGATCCCACTCAAAGGTTTAGTTACTGAAACATTGACACACACTCTAAAATAGGTAATTTTAAGAGTGCAGACCTGAGAGCTGCATCTTATCAGTGTATTCAATAAATCAGAGGCTGTATTTACTACTTATTAGATCACCAAGTTAATATGTCCTATTTAGACAGAACCTAAATCCAATCTAGTTCTATTTTAAAGTCAATATGTGATAAGAGTTTTCAAAGGGAAATTCTCACTGTACACTAACTCTCAGCCACACAGGGTCAAGAAATATAAGTAGCTAAAACTGCCCACTGCAAATGCAATCTTACAGGGATATGTGAAGCTGTTCCCTGGCCTGGATCTGTCTGGCAGAACTGGATGGGTGGCAGGGTTATTTGCTTTGCATCTCCTATATGAGGAATTAAAAAATTTACAGTATGTAAATCCACACATTAAGTAGATAAAATATTGCTTTGTGTTTAGAATCCTATCACTAAATCACATGGGATGGAAAATCTAACCCCCTATGTGGGTTTGAGTTCATTTAGCACAGCATAAGGATAACCCACACACTATCATATCTCTAAAATAAACAGTACCATGGAAATTTGTAATTTAGACAAAGAAGATAATTCATAAATTAAAACAGTTATCTATTGTCACTGCAATGTGTAACCCTTGTTAATTCTTAAGTTTTTCTAATTATTGCTAAAGCTCTAGAGAATGAAATGCACTTCTAGTAGTAGGGTAAACATCTCTATTCTCCTACATTATGCTAATATAGAAGTTCCATTATTTTCAACTCTGACTTCATAAGTGTCAATAAACTGATAAAATAGACTGCTTGAAAGTCCCCAGTGTTTTTGTTTTTTTTTTTTTTTTTTTGGTTTTTCCTCCCTCTCTAAATTTCCTTTGTACATCAGGAAGATGTCAAGTGTTCTCACTCAGATAGAAATAATGAAGGAGACAAGCCAACTCTTTCTCACTCTGAAGTCTTTGAAATCTTCTAGTAGGCTTAGTTTCTCAGGCACAGACTCCAGATGGTCCAAGGCTACTCGGGTACTCTGGAGGAGAAAACATAAGGAAACCAAACGTTATAAAATAATTATTAACACTCTCAGGATCCAACTACTAAAAATCAGTTGTATGACTGGAATAAGCTGTTCAAGCTGTAGGTTTAGTGAGCTCATAAGAACAGGCATAATAGCATTTCTAAGATAAGTATATCTTTTTTAATCAGCAGAATAATTTCCTTTCAAAAACTAGATGAGATGTATCTGCAAGACTGACTCAGATATAAAAACCCTTCCTGGATAATTGCTTTCAACTGATATGCTATGAAACTTTCTCAGAGCATTTCATATTAATTTACAAACCTGCTTCATTGAACATCAAAAGTAAACCACAAGGTAATAGTGAGAAATAGATTAATTTGCAGTTACTATCATTGGAGCATATTTGAGATCATCACATGTTGCCATTATAAAAAAGGGAAGTGTTCTCAACAATTATTTTAGTTAAAAAGGAAAAGAGGAGCAACTCAAAGGACTTGGGAGAAGTATCTGAAATTAAGTATTTGTGACAGGGATACAAGATCACATTGATTATAAATCAATAACATATACAGTCTTTGATTAACTAGCCCCTGATTTACATCCACCATTATAACATTAAGTGGGAGTGATCTGAAAGTTATTTCAAAGCCAGTGTGAACTAAAAAGTGGTTGAATAACCTTGAGACCAGAGATGATAACCTTGAATAACCTTGAGACCAGAGATAATACCACATGTATCTCTGTATTCTCAGTTCTGTCACTGTGCCAGCAAATACTGGACAGGCAATATGTATTCGCTTTTGAATTGGAAGTAAACAATAATTATGCAATGAAATAAACAAGTCCCATTACTGGTGCATGTGAAGAAAGTAAAATGTCTTGCAAGAATCTGTACATTAGGTTGCAGAGAGTTGTTGAGTTTGGTGGCCACCCAATATTTTACCTGCACACATACATCTCCCATGTGAATGGTTCTGAACAACAGATTGTGAGTGCAAGTGTCATATGCCATTTCTGGGCTAAGAAAATTGAAAGTCTTCATGTTTCCTCTACCGCCCCAACCTTCTATGAAGTCTTTGGCGGCCACATGCTCCAGATAGTCATGCATCCCTTGGATTTCACATGAGCAAGATGCCAGCCATGAGTTTTCAGTGTGTGCTAGTTACCACTACATACCACAGTATTAAATACTGTAAATGATATCTGTTAAATAAAAACTGCAGGCTGATCAGGTAGTCAACTGACTTATGTGTGATTGAGTCATGACTCATGCCTGGGACTCCAAATTGTGAGCAAATACTTCTTCTCGGTGGAGTTCAATCTTTCTGGAGCAGGACAGGGTTAGGAAGTGATATTCTCTCATCTGGTATACCTTTCATTTAGGTTCCTATTTTAAATCTCTTTTGTCACCCGACTGCTGTTCTTTGCCTTCATCTCCAGTCCAGAGCTTCTCCGAGTTTATTCATACTTGTAGTTCCTAGAAGTTTGTGCTAGGACAGAGATAAGGACAGAGAGTTGAGAATTTAACTCCCATTTGCAGACACCATTAATGTGCTCATTTCCACTCCTGTAATTCAAAAGCAAACAGGCCCTTCTGGAATTCCGCAGGGTAGATGGTTATCCACTTCTCTGCATTTTCCCATTGAGAGACACCTGGGCTTCACCTTCTCTTTATTTGACCATTTTTCTCTCAGTGATCTTCGACTTGGAGTTACAGCTACCGCCAAGTAATCAACAGGTAGAGCAGGGCTTCTACTCATATTCTTTCACTAATGTGATTTTTGAAAGGAGAGCAGACATGCCTTTAATTGACCAGTTTGAAGTTGGAAGTCTTGCATGTTGTTTCTTCAAGTTCATAAAAATCTTCTTTTTCAGGTTCCACTGAAAGGATTTAGTATTTTGTTCCTTCTACTTAACATTTATATAACTATTAGGCTTCTTGCCACATGTGCTCACTTAAACTGCCTTACTTTTAAATGGCTTTATTTAATTTTTTTTCATGTGTAAGACAGATTCATCAAAATGACATGTTTCTTAATATAGGTTCCAACATGTAGGTTTCAGAGAGAAAGTAGTTTTAGCCACTATATATATGCTATATTAATTTCAATAGTAAAATTACAGACTTTTCCTAAGAACTATATTGGTGCTAAACAATAAAATACAAATAAATGCATCGGTGATTCAAAAGCAAAATTTTATGCATTGAATAAAATCTTAGTAAACAATGATTCCAACAGGCTTGAGGTTGAAAACTTGAGGTTGAAAACTTTTTTTTCCTTTTTTATTCCACATTTTTTCTCATTCATAAGCAACCCTCTGAAGGTGGGCTCAGTATGTTAAAATGACTTTTTTTAAATAAGCAAATGTTCTCTTCCCCTAGTCAGAACATAGCATGATATGCAAATATTTTTGCTTAAATATTTTCGGTCAACTGGTTGACTGCATGAGAAAGTGTTTTTCTTACATTTTTCACATACTAGTTTATTTTGACTATTTTTTTTAATGTTATTGGATACATATTTAAATGGCTACATTTTTCTGAGTGAACCACGAACAAGTCTTCGGTTGCTTCTTTCATGGGTCTAGACTTCTCAACTCCCCTTCCTGACCCCACTCTGCCTTGTCATTTATTAGTCACAATAATTATTAGTCATATCTTATTTTATATGCCATGTACGTCATTTTGGGTCTTTTGCTCAATATCAGTGATATTTTCTGGCATTCTTTCCATTCACCCTTGTGTTTAAGTGAATCAACATATGTCAAAGGTATACCTAGGTGTCCTAGAAAGAGGCACAAATCATAGACGGCATGCTTTGGGTACTTGAGGAAACTTTACTTATCTGGGGTAAGAAATATGCACGTGCAAAGGTATATGAAGGTGCAGCGGGTTAAAGCACAGCACCAAGAAGCTAAAGCCACCTCCGCATGAGTTCGACTCCCGCTGGCCCCGGAGGTGACCACATGGCGTGGCAGACCTCTCCTGACCCGCCTGCTGCTCCCCTCAGCAGTGTACTTCATTGATCTGCCTGTTCTACTCCCCATTCTGTCTCTGGCGAAGCCTCTCCCCTCCCCTGAGCCTCTGGCCTATACCCCAGTTCTGTATGTGCAAATAAATATTTTTTTTTTAAAAAGGATATGAATTACAACAAGAAAATAGTTAATTAGTTTTAAAGTTAAGTATATGTACTGCTTCTGAGATTTCTAGACTATTTACAATGATATGTTTTGAAGTAATGAAGACAATGAGTTCAGGCCATCTCTGCTCACATAATTTCTTGGTTAAGTGACAATGTAAGGGATTGAATTCATTTTCTGACCATTCTTCTTTTCTACCTGTATGCATGCAAGTGTGCTGAAAACCAGCAGCTGGTATGTAGATGTAGGAATATGCATATACACTTTTTTTAAAAATATGAGATTGGCTAGGATTCTGCAGTAGGCTTGTTATATTACATGCCATTTCAATTTCATTTTTCCCCCAAAGCAAGCAGTGCTAGAGAGGCAAAGTCCATCAGTAGATGAAGAGTCTAAAATAAGGAACTTATTGTCGAATTTTAGAGATGCCATGAAGACCTCTAGCATGTCAGCTCCTAGGGCAAAACACCTTGAGTAGAGAAAAGCAAGCTTAATTTTTTAAGTTGGTTAATTATTTCTGCCTTACATAGCCTGATGCTTCAAATAAGTTCCCACCACTGGAATTAAGGAAATTTTTTAAAGTTTATTCAGTAATGGAACCATAAAATGATAGATGTTTAACCAATTTAATTTTCTTAAAAAATTTTTCTAGAAGAACTAACTCAAACAACTGCAAAGGGATTATAGACTATTTTTCTTTTGAAAACATTACTGAATACTAAATTTCATATTAAGTTTGAAAACAAAGAAAAATTAACAATTAAGTTTATGGTTCATAAAGAACTAATACATGGTCTATAGCAATTTATCTCAGAGGTTTAAAAGGACTGGGATCCTACTGGCTTTGGAGCAGTAGCAAAGCAAATGATCAATGACTCCTAATTCTTTTAAGTAGTAATAGTGAAAGAATGAGAGAAATGCAATTCAGTTCTGAACACACCACTATAGCATATAAATACCATTGTTATCCTTATTACACAGCTGAGGCGACTGAAGTGTAAATGGTCTCCTTACAGCCATGGGGTGGCAAAACTGAGGTGCAAACCCAAGCAGTCTAAACACAGAAATGGCAGTATTCTTATTATAAAAGAATATATATTTTTTCACATTCACAGGTGAAAATGAATAGTCATCAGAAGCTGTAACAGTGATTCCTTTACAAAATATCCTAATCTAACTCTAGCTAGCAAGTCTCTCAATTAACTAGACTTTTGGAGACACGACCTTGATGGGTTTACATCTGCAAGAGATTAGTTTTTATTGTTGTCATATCATTATTTGTTTTTTTCATGATATGGAATGGGCAAACCCAGTAAGAATTTCATCTTGATGGTGCTGAAGTCTCTGCTCAAGACTATGCATCCCAGTGCTCATGTGCGTGTGTATGTGTACACACACACACACTCGCACACACACACACACGGTAGCATTTCCATAGACAAGTATTCAAGAAATCAAGTTTTATGATACTAACACTCCCTTTTATTTTCTAACATGAAGCATAACATAACACACCATGTAGCCAGAAGAGTTGCTTCAGTACATGTCTGCTGAAGAAAGGCAGAGTTACCATGTTCTAATCAACCCACTGAATCTTGGCCTTTTTATTAAAAACTGAAAAGCAAGAACTAGTCTTTTCATTTATTTTCTCTAGACTACGGGAAAGATCAAGTGGCAGAAACAACAGTGAAACTAAAGAGAGGCTGTCTGCTAGGCCCTGTCGCTTTTACACTTATAGACAGGTTGAAATTTCTGTTGAAAGGGGCAAAAATTAGGCTGTCTTCAACACACACACCAAATGCTATAGAGTCAAACAGTTTTATACTGGTCCACAGCACATTTCTCCTTAGTTGTTCCTTTGTTTCAGA